CCAAAAAAAAAAAAACGTAAACAAAAATTACACATACAGATGTTTGAATAGTTGTTAGTTGAAGGCTTATGAAAGAATTTCAGGTCAATATCAATGATGACCTATAATGACCTTTCTTTGTGTAATCTTTCTTTTTTTTCTTTGCAATTGGTAAGATTTAATTAGCAAAAGAAAGAAGAAATTAATTTAGAAAATTTGATATTATCCAATCGTGTTACAAGGTGAAAATAATACTCACTCATTACTAATTATCACACAGTATTCAGTCAACCGTAGCCTTATCTGTTAATAATTTCTCATCTAAAATTCTTGAAATTTTAGATGATGAAATTTCAACAAAATGATAACTCTGATATTCAACAACTTTTACTTAATAATAATTGGATGCAACAATTAATGATAGTATCAAAAATAACCTCTCTTTTTTTCCTCTTTTCCTTCCCTTTCCTCCCTCCCCATCTTTTTTCAGGGATGATTTATAATATTTGAAATAAACATTCAAATCAATTACAGTACCATCTTTCGTGGATTTTTGTTTATTGCAACAAGATAAGTGAAATATTACTTAATAAAACATAACTATAGTCATATTCTTTCCATTGATTTTCTCCATGATTTCCAATAATGAACTGATTTTATTTTCAAAATGAAACATAGTTCTCAATAATTAAGATTTTGAATCCTAAAATTTCTACCTGAATTCGTGCTTCATTCAATTTTGTAATCCTAGCAAGTTCCTCACGAACATAAATATCTGGATAGTGTGATTTTTGGAATGCAGCATCGAGTTCTGCTAACTGTTCTTGCGTGAATGTCGTACGATGTCGTCTTCGTACGCTGTAAGAAAAGAATAAATTGATTTTATTGATTTTAAAGTATAAAGATCAAATTAGCAAAATGCATGAGAATTGAAAGGAAAAAATGTAATATTTATGAAAGTTTTTTTTTAATTTCTTAAAATTTACAAAAATTTTTAAGAATTCTGAATGTTTTAAAATTTATGAAAGTTACAAACAATTTTCTTCAGCTAAAATCAAATAAATGAAATTTTAAATTTTGGTAATAAAATAGTATTATCATTAAGTTATTAAATTTCAATGCTTATAAAATTTTTTAAAAATTTATTCCATTAAAGTGACGATAATCTTGCCACTATAATCTTGTATGTTGCTTTTATTAGATGATCGCAAATTTTAGAAATCCTCTGAAAGTCAAAATTTCAAGATTAAAAAGAAAATTTTAGGATTGAAAGGAATATTACCTGGCAGGTACTTGAGAGCTACCTGAAAGAGCACTTGCAAACACTGATGATGCGTTGCAACTATTGCTTTCTGCTTTAATTTTTTTGAATGCACCATCTGTAAAGATTATTAAATTTGAAAAGAAAAATCTATAAATTTTCAAATATTTTTTCATGTCCTTCCAAAACATTTAAATAAAAAAAAATAAATTTAAATTGAATTTTGCTTTGAGTTATAAAAGAGTATAAGGGATTTTGTGAATGATTTCTAACTGGCAGATGTTTTAAGCCTTTTCTGAAAAGCATCCAATGAACAACAAGGATTAACTCTATCAATTCATGCTTAGCACCCTTCAATCAAATACAAACTCATAATGAATTGGAGACAGATGAAAGATCAAGCTGAAATTTTTTGAAATTTAAAGCAAAAAAAAATCGATCTTTTGAACAACACTTTAAAAAAACTAAATAACAATTGTTTTTGAAAAATTTATTTGGTTTATAGGTTTTACCAGAAGAATCACCGATCGGTCGTAGACTATTGGATACAGATGCATCGAGCGGTGGATAATACGGGAAATCGGTAAGTGCATGTGCTAAATCTTTACTCTTCAATTGCTCCTGAAACTGCAAACTAACAAGGTATGTTGCAGTTGTTGAGAGCATGCTGTAAAACTGTTTTTACAGTTTCTGAAATAAATACTTTGGTGGAAATTTTACGATTAATTACGCTAAATGATACGTATCGGTGCAGATAAAATACTTACATTTTAGAAATTTTCCAAATCATAACAACAATTAGTAAATTAATTTTTAAATGCTTTTTCTAAATTTTTCAAAAAATGCTTTTCCAATTTCAATAATTGTAGTATTTGAAAGAGAAGGATTATGAGAAGTCGTCATCCAAATAAATTAAGTTTGATTTTCAACAATGATCATTTCTAGCAAATTAATCATTCTATATAAGCTTTGAAAAAATTATCAAATTGATGGATTCCAGTTGAGTACTATATCAAAACTCATCTCTCTCTCTCTCTCTCTCTCTCTCTCTCTCTTCCTCATTCATCAGCTAATCATTCAACAGTTATAAATTACAATGGTTAAAATATTGAAATGATATTGAAAAATTGCTTTTCAATGGTACAAATTCGAATAGCGTAAAACTTTGAATGGTATAACTTACAGTATAATTTACTGAAAAAAAAAAGCAAAGTTAAAAAATGCGAGAAAATTCTTTTTTTTTAAATTGAAAATTTAAAAAAAAATCATTTTTTGATTAAAAAATTACAAAAAAAATTGCAAACTTCCTGCATTCAAATTATATTTTATCCCATTAATATATTTATCTGCTACTTATCACTTATCACTAATATATTACCCATATACTTCATCACTTAGCACTAATATATTACCCATATACTTCATCACTTATCACTAATGTATTACTTAATATTTATTACAAATTTACTACCTATATTACTTATTATTAAATTATTGCTTATTTTAAAGTAAATAAATGTTCATAAAAGATGACAATCAACAAAAATATCTTTTGTTCCTAACCTTTTATATTTTAAATAATGGGAAAGGGATGAAAAAATAAAAAAAAAAAAAAGGGAATGAATGGGAATAATAAAAGAGGGCTCATACAGTGTGCGTCCAAATTAAATTTTCCATAATTATTTTAGAAATAAACAAAATCGAAACATGGAGAGAAGAAGTTTGACATAATACGAGAAATGAAGAAGATATTACTAAACATGGAAAAAGACGATAATGCTAGATGAACAATTAGGTTTTCTCCCCATCTTTCTCTTAAAGCTTAATGCTCAAACAAATTATGATAAATTAGCGCATCCGGTTGTCATTGCGGTAGTAGTAGTAGTAAGTGCTATTCAATTCAAACATATCCAAACATTCAGTGATCACATTTGTCGGCATTTCGAGCAGTTTGTACACTTTTCAAAATGGTTCTATCATTTCATTCTTTTTTTTTTTACCTTCGATCTCTGTTCCTTCTCATACAAAAATGAAAAGTAATCGTTTTGCTATTAAATCAGATTTGGCTTAATGTTTACAACTTTCATTCAAATGGGAAATTAACTGCGTTTAGACTTACCAAAACCTTTTTTTCTTTTGTATTATCTATTATGCAACTTAAATTAATCAAAGAAATGAATATTTGCTTCAACATTGATCATCAATCGATCAATTCTTGCTTATATGGCTATTTTATGAAATGATTTATTATTATTATTATTATTATTATTATTATTATTATTATTATTATTATTATTATTATTATTATTATTATTATTATTATTATTATTATTATTATTATTATTATTATTATTATTATTATTATTATTATTATTATTATTATTATTATTATTATTATTATTATTATTATTATTATTATTATTATTATTAG